TCCTTCGAGGTTCGCGCGAAAAAATTGGACGATCGTAAATGCGAACACTACTTTTGAAATCGTATATACTTTTCTTCCTCTCCGTCTTTTTATTCCAACGAATTGAATTATTGTTACTATTATTATTATTATTATTATTATTCTACCGAAATGTCGATTCCGTAACTGTAACTCTGCACCGTGCCGACCTCACCCAGTTAAAGTCACGCCAATGCTTTTCCAGTTTACGGTATATATCCCCGTCTCTTATTTCTGCTCGCTCTTTATACAAGAACTCGGCCATTGAAAAATTTCTCGAGCCTCGCGGTCAGCTTTCCGAGAAGCTCGCCATTATTGCCTCCGCGCTATTCCACGCTCGATTATTATTATTCGCGCGCACTCGAATAAAGACCGAAAGAAGAATCCCCGAGAGAGGAACCCGAAAAAAGGAGAGGGAGGAGGGGACAGTTACTCGTGCGAAACTGATACCGTTTCGCGATTTCCTTTACGCGGTTAAAGGAAATTTCGTTCCGTTCGGATTGATTTTTAGATCGGACTGTACTTTGTGCACCAGAACAGAATGTGGCACTTACATATTGCCAGTGCATCCCATATGCGCGCACGTGAATATGCGATGGCTCTGGCAAGATGGCCGACTTATAACTCATAAAGTCGGTCGGACTGCGCGAACCGTTGACTGCCTCGCGATCGATGGATGCCTTTGAGATCAGCCAGCGTCATCGTTTCCCGTTGCCGCGCGTCTCGCGTGGGTTGACAGTCTCACGAATTCCTACTCGCCGGTGTGTATTGTACTGTTGCACGCCTCTACGCTCGTGGAGCGCGCGCGCGCGCGCGCTCGCCAGCATCTAGCAGGCTAACGAGTCAATTTCGTTATTCCTCGTGTATATTCGCGTGGCTTTTGCCTCGAGAGAGAGAGATACCGGCCGTCGAGTTTTTGAATTACCTTCTGCCACGGTTGATTGATTCATAGCCAAAGTCGTTGCCGGATTAACGTCTTCCCCGTCTTCCCAGCCGAGATTTTCTTCTTTCTTGAGACAACGTTTGGACAACGTTTGCCCGTACGCCTGTTCTCGCTAATCGATTCCCGCCTCGTCTCGATTCTCGATTCTTCTTCCTTTCGGACCAGATAGATAGGCGGGTGTAATAAGTTGATAGGGAAATTGTCGAATTCGGTTCGGTGAAACGTTTCGTTTCGTTTCGTTATTCTCGTTCGATGTATTGGTTAATTTTTACATGGATATGGGAATTAAACCTAACGTTTTTTTTTTTTTTCCTTTTTAACGCGCATACACGAACACATACACGTCGCGCAGTCCCATTTCGACGGAGCGTTTGATCGTCCAGCAAAATTGGAGAGAATAATGTTCCATCGGGTTCGATTAAATTCACGCCCCTGGTGTACAACGACGCCATCCATGCCAATTACCAGAAAACTGACTGCGTGAAATCGAATGCGACATGCCTCGTAACTCGTCACCGTCCCTTTCCCCTTCTCTCCTTCCCTTTTCGTCAGGAATTGGGAATCTTGCTGACACACATAACCCGTCCCCTTTTCTTATCCTTTTCTTCTCTCTTCTCTTTGAGAGGAGTATACCTGCGCGCGCGCGCGTGTGTGTGTGTGTGCGCGCGCGCGCGGCAAGTGGAAACACACTGTCACGCGTTTATTTCTTCATCGAGAGACGACGAGTAACGAGATTAGAGATCGTGGATTAACCTCGAGGCGAAAAACAGGAGGGGATCCGTGAGGAGGGAAGTATGTAAGAGAGAAAAATTTGAATGAATTTCTTTGTCCGAGAAATCACGGTTGTCAGTCATGTTTTTGGCCGATTTCGTTCTCAGAAACTCGCTCGTTTCGAAAAATTAAGGAACCGATGGCCTGTGGAATCTTACACGAATTCGTTCGACCAATTCGTTTGTCGATGTTTCTTTTTTTTCTTTTTTTTTTCTTCTTTTTTCTCTCGTCTCTGGCGAAAAGCGAAAGATATCGCGTTTTCTTCTCGCGATTCCACGATCCAGCGACGTTCCTCGTCGCCTCCTCGTCTCTCTCTCTCTCTCTCCCCCTCCCCTCCTCATCACCACCTACGCACGAGCCGACAACTACACACGTTAGAACAAAAGGCTACCTCTCCGTACGTTGCGTCGTATCTGCGGCGGAATTGATACGGGGAAAAAATCGGGCATAATTTATCATGTAAAAGCGGGTCGAACGGAGAAGAACCGCGTGCGTCGCCGGTGAATCGAGGTTTGCCGGTGGAACGAGGCTTAGGAAAAAGAAGCGTACCACATGGTTTCTTCCTCCCCCTCCATCTCTTCTTCTTCTTCTTCTTCTTTCTCTTCTTCTTCTGCTGCTGCCTCTTCAGACATCTTTTCTATGAACCTTGACGTCCCCTCGAATAGGCGTACGTATACATTTCTTCCGTCAGGAATACATCAACCATTCAGGTTAACCTAGAAAACACGCGAACGTTTACGTAATAATCTTGGTAATCTTCGAACGGAAGGTAGATCCTTTTGGATGGAGAAATATTCCCCTATTTTTTTTTCTTCTTTTTTTTTAAATCTAATTTCCGAACGTATGAAATTACTTAGTACACGTATTCGAATATTCGAATAGTTTCATCGACCCAATTTCGTCGAGATACTCGAGCGAGAGATCCAGTCCAATTTTTGCGGGGGTGCGAGCGAAGGAAGTCGGCGGCAACAACGGTCGAATCTGGTCGGAGAGAGAAAGAGAGAGAGAGAGAGAGTGAGACGGGGGAGGAGGAGAGGGAGGAGGGTAAGGTGGTGGAAGGGAGGGTTAATCCGGCGCGAAGAAAAGCAGAAAAGCCGCGCGTGTGCTGGTGCCGGTCTTGGGGGGGCGCAGTGGGGTGGAGGACAGCGATGCCTCCGTGAACCCATTAATCATTCCAGCCGGATAAAAGGCAGCAAGGATGAAAAGAGAAGACGGACAGTCGGCGGGCAGGCATGCAGCCGGTTGGATGAAGAGAGAGAGAGAGAGAGAGAGAGAGAAATGTCTTGCTTTTCGTTCCTTCTGTTCCGCTTCGATCCTCTTCTCTCCCTCTTTCTCTTCGCTCTTCGCTTTTTCCTCCTCCTCCTCCTCCTCCTCCTCCTTCTCCTCCGCAACGGCCCCCGGGAGGATCATTTTTTATTTTGCCTCTTTTCGAAATTCGTCGGACGCTTCTATTGTCGGAGGGCACGAGAGACGGGGAGGGGGGTGAGTCTCTGGGAGCAGAGATCGGACCAACGCTCTTTTCGACGAGGGAGGGGCGGGGGAGGAGGGGAGAAGATTCATTAACTGATAACGCGATTCTTTCTTCGGACGTTCTTCTCTCATTCGTTGAAAACGATATCCTGCCACGGGAATCGGCCGTCTCGAATCTTTTGGACACCTGTTGGGACAATGCGTTTAGAAGATTTTTTTTCTTTCTTTCTTTTTCTTCTTCTTTTTTTTTTTCTTTTTGTCGTTGGTACGCAACCACCAACTTGAGAAATTGAATCTCTCGATTGAATTCGATACGCGCGAGGCGAATTACGAGAGAGAGAGAGATTTAGATTTTTTCGGATATCGGAGAAAGAAAGAAAGAAAGAAAGAAAGAAAGACTTCAAGCTAGAAAACTTTTCGCTTGGAGGAAAATAGATAAGATAATAAATAAATCGTGTCGTGATCGTATCGAATCGTACGTTTGATCGAATTTGGGAAGGAAAGCGAGAAAGATAGAGAGCTGGTGGAATAAACGATAAAACGATGGAAGAAACGAGCTTTCCAACCTCTTGCGCTCGCTTCCGATTTTTAATTCGAGACTTTGGTGGGCCTGATGATGGATCCCTCCA